CATAGAGTCACATCAAACACAATAAAATCCAGAAAAAAATTCTCAATTGAATGGTCAACTGTTTTTTGACAAAGCTGTCAAGACCAAGCAAAAGATACTCTTTTCAACAAATGATGCTGGGAAAACCTGATATCCTTAAGGGAAAGAATGAAGTTGAATCTTTACCTTATGCCAGTTACAAGAATTTACTTCAAATGGATCAAATATGTAAGTAAAGTTTAAAACTGTAATATTCTTTGAAGAAAACGTAGGACAAAAGCTTTACAACACTGGATGTGGCAGTGGCTTTTTATATATAACATCTACTGGGCGTGGTGGTGTACACCTGTAATCCCAGTACTCCTCGGGAGGCTGAGGCAGGGGGATTGTTGCTAGTTTGAGGCCAGCCTGGGCTACAAAGTGAGCTCAAGGCCAGCCTGAACTGTATAGGAAGACCCTGTCTCAAAAAGACGCATGCACACACACACACACACACACACACAAGATATAACATAAAAGGTGTAGGCAACACAGGAAAATATAGAAAAATTAGATCTGGAAATTTTTAAAATGTGTATTAAAAGATAACATAAACAGAGGAATAATAGCAACAAATAAAATGGGAGAGACTATTTGCAAATGATGTATCTGATAGGAATTGAATATCAAGCAAACAGAGAAATTTTAAAACTAAATGACAAAAAGAAAAAGATGATTTAAAAATTGGCAAAAGATTTGAGTAGACATTGCTCCACAGAAGGTATACAAATGGCTATCAATGAGAGCAGACCAGCAGTACTAATGATGAAGGAAATACAAACAAAGGCAATAATGAGGTAATGTCTCACATGCAGAAGAGTGACTACTATTAAAAAGAATGAGAAAATAAGTGTTGGTGAAGATGTGGAGTTCTTTTTTGGTTTGTTTTTGAGGTAGGATGTTGCTATGTAGTCCAGGCTGGCCTTGAACTTTTAGTGATTCTCCTGTCTCAGCCTTCAGAGTAAGGATTATGGTAAGTATCACCATGCCCAGTGAAAGACTGGAACTCTTTTGCACAATTGGTGGGAATGTAAACTGGTACGGCAACTATGGAACACAGTATGGCAATTCCTCCAAACAGTACAGTTATTACATAATTCAGCAATTGTTTCTGGATATGTATTAAATAGAAGTGTTAGCAAAATTTCAAAGTCATATTCATATACTGATCTTCACAGCAGTATTATTCACAATATCTAAAATATGGAAGCAATCCAAGTGTCCATCAGGGGAGGAACAGGTAAGCAGGATGTGTTATACAAAGGATTATATTATTCACACTTAGAGAAAGGAAATGCTGTAATATGTTAGAGTATGGATAAACTTTGAGGACATTATGATAGAACAGGTATGAAAAGACAAGTACGGGATGATTTCACTTAGAGTGGCACCTAAAGTAACAAAAATCATAGACAAAAAAAAGTAGAATGGTGTTTTCCAGGAGCTGGGAGGAGGGAGGATGGAGCTACTGTTAGTGAGTTTATTTAATTTTTTTTTTTTCTTTTTTTTTTGGTTTTGGTTTTTCTCTGGTACCAGGAACCGAACTCACGACCTTGCGCTTGCCAGGCATTGTTAGTGAGTTTAGAGTTTGAGTTGTATAAGAAGAAAAGAGTAGGAAGATAGGGTTGATTGCACAATTTCATGAATATATTTGCTAGCATTGAACTGTACACTTAAAATGATTAAGATGATAAACTTCATGTTACATGTATTTGTGCATTTTAACTACAAAGTAAAGGGAGAATTTGAAGACAACAATATGCAATGTAACAACCATTGTTGAATTTCTACCATCTTGTTTAGTGAAGGCCTGTACCATTTTTAACATTTCTTTAAAATTATTTTTTATTCTCTTTAATGGTTTGATCAATCTTGCATTCTTACACCTGGTCATCTGAGCAACTTCATTGGAGATAGCAATACGTAATATAACACCCACTGTTAATTCCTATCATTTTGTTTTGAAGCCCTGTATCATTGTTATTGTTTTTGCTTTGTTTTGTTTTTGTCTATGTTGTTGTTATTTTGTTGTTTTTAAAAATTCTCTTTAAAATGAAAAAAGGGAGAGAGAGAGAGAGAGAGAGAGAGAGAGAGAGAGAGAGAGAGAGAGGCATTTTAACCTTGTTCTGATTCTTGAGTTATTACATAACCATGTAACACTGCGATGTCCTCATCTGAAAACTAAGACACCTGTTTAGTAGAAATTCCCATATTCTCTCTACATACCAAATAGTACTATCAATATTATTAACCTTTACTAAAATGACTATTAAAATATAAAGAAGAAACCTAATTTTTGTTATTTAACTGTTTCAATATAAAAATATACAAAACAAAAATGCAGATACATTAAAAAAAATCCCACTTTGGTTCAAGGTGGCTGCGACATTTGCGTTTAAGCTGCTACAGTGCTAATGTTGAGTCAGTGCCTGGCAGATGACAGAGCTGCTTTAAGGGGAAGGCGGTAGGTGGCATTCTCTGCAAATCACAGTTGCATGTAGGTAGCTGTCCTGAAAATGTGGCATACTGGGAACCAACTAACTGTCACTCCCATGGACTCGAGAAATAATTTCTGCCCCGTCAATAGGATGGAATCATTGTTTTTCTTCTCTAGAGGGATCATGCTTTAAAACATAGCCAGATAGTAAATATTTTACTTTCTGTGAACCACAGAGTCTCTTTCACAACTATTGATCTGTTCTCCTATAGGACAACAACAAAGAAACCCCATAGGTACTCCATAAACAAAGGGATATAGCTGAGTTACTTTATTAACAAGATGGGCATGTACAGATTTGGTTTGCTAATCCTCTACTTTAGAATATCATGAAATCATTACATTATGCTCCTCGCACCTCTTGGCTGTACTAATATACACTATATTATACTGACCTCTATCAGTTTTTACTGCAATGTGAGTCCTGCAGCTAAGCAAAAATTAGATGGTGCCGACCTTGAAGAAACCATCAAATCAGGTGGCCATTGGGGCAAGCACTTAACATCCCGATATGATAACCTAAAGCTCTACATTATTTTAATAACATTTTTGTCGAAACAACATTTAAAATATAATCTCCAAGTTTTGAAAATGAGCTGCTATTCCCTGGAGCAAAGCTACTGATATTTTGATGGGAAAGAAGGACAAAATAAATGCTTTCCAATTCCTAGAAATCTTTAAAAAAAAAAAAAAATGCAACCTAATCCTGGCTTTCTATTTATCAGTGGATCAAATTTATCTCTTGCTTTCGTATAATGGAAGTTAACTCACCACTGAAGTTCATTATTGTTCTAAGCTGAAGATCACTCATCAACCCAACATTTCACCTTCTCTCTCTCTTTCTTTCTCACCCTAGCATGGCTGGGGATGCTAGGAAGTCCCACCAGAAGCTTTTAGGAGGAAGATTTTTACCTTTGGATCTCCATGTGTCTTTATGTGATTAAATAATTCCTTCTCAACATGGGAGCTGCCCCCATTTAATGTGTGGACCAGGCTGGAATAGAATGAAAGGTGAAACGAGTCTTTTGTTTCTAGTATTACTTCTAAAGATACGGACTTCTAGATACCAGGTTGGATTTGATGTGCAATGTCACAAATGTGGGTTCCGGAAACCTTGTTCTTGGCCAAGTAACTTAACGCCTTTGAGATTTTGAACTTTAATTTCCCCATCTAAAAAAAATGTGTGAATGTGCTTCATAGGATTGATAAATAGTAAACGGCAAATAGAAAATATTAGTAAGTATTAGTTTCTTTCATATTTTCTATGTGCACGTATGTGCTCCAAACTATATTTGTTTGCACTATTCTGATAGCAGATTTTTCTCTTTTTTCTTTTTCTTCCTTTTCTTTTCTTTTTCTTTCTTTTCCTTCTTCTCTTCTCTTCTCTTTTCCTCCCTCCTCTTCCCTCCTCTCCTCTCCTGTCCTCTCTTCTCCTCTCCTCTCTTCTCCTTTCCTTTCCTTTCCTTTCCTTTCCTTTCCTTTCCTTTCTTTTCACCATGTATCCTCCAGTGGACTGCCTCTGAGTGTACAGTACACAAAAGCATGTAGGGCTTCTGAGGCAAAGTGCTACACAATGAAAGACTACTGGGAAAAAAAATTGATCAATAGACAAAACTTCCAGTGTCTAGAGTTATTCAGCAGACAGCAAATTCATTCGGTTTATTTTCCTTTGGAAAAGAGCCTCTGGGTGTGGTTTCAACAGTTAGAACATAGGTTACCTGTTGGTTCCATCAACCTGTACCTAGGTCTACTCTTGAGCCCCTGCTGAGTGCTCAATTAATATCTGTTTTCCCACCTAGCTAACCAAGCACACTTAGGTCCAATTTGCTTTTGTGGTAACCATGAAAAGTTTCTGGAGTCTTATATAGGGAAGGAGCAGATATTCTAAGAAAAGGCTTTAACACTGGACAAGCATGGCACCATTTACACACAATTTACCTGGAGCATGCAACTTAGAATAAAATGATAATTCAAATGCTCCAATATACCATTTGATCTGAAATCAGGCACGAAAATGTCCATGCACATTTTAGGCACATTTTTGAATGAAAAAAAAAAAAAAAAGAACAATAGCAAAATTCCAACCACATAGACAGAAACTAAACAAAGCCAAAACAATAAGAACGATACAGGGTTTCAGAACAAAATGATAATAAGGATTAACAGTGGTTGTTACATTACATATTGTTATCTTCATCAAAGTTGGTCAGATTACCAGATGTAAGAAAGCAAGATGGATCAAGCCATTAACAAAAATAAAAAATGAAAACAAAAAAATTATAAGTGATACAGTTTCACCAAACAAGATGATAGGAATTCAGCAACGGTTGTTATGTTGCTATGGGGATATGAACTTGGTGGTGGGTACAGTGAAGCAAAGAAAACTTATGTTTCCATGGATAGTTTCTGAGTGTCTTCATGGTTTTCCAGGTTCTGTGGACATGTGAGAGATCAGCAGTATGAACATGTCCCATAGCTGACATACCTGAGAACATCATCATGTGCTGAAAATTCCACGGGATCCTCTGTGTTCGTCCCAGATTCAGGAGGAAGGAGAGGGGATATATGTTACACGCTCTGGCCACAAAAATTGCTAGCTGTAGGCAAGCACAGGGACACATTGAGGAAAATGATACTGCAATGAGGGCTTGACTCTGAGCATAAATATTATGTCCTCAAGCTTCCCTACCTTATGACCTAGAGAACAAAGATAAACATGTCAATTCATATATGTCCATCTTGCTCCCCAAATTAATCCTTCAATGTCGATCCTTTATGGAAGTAAAAGAGGATCTCTGCCTTTCTGTGAATATATACTCGGTTTAAAATTGTTAGCCGAATCGTTTCAATCACTGTAAATCTCCTCATCCCATTTATGCTGCTGACGCCTGACTCTCGGCTGAGTTTCTCTGTAAAATGTGAGGCAGTGACTGTTGTGATGCGTGGCATTATCTCCTCAAGCAGCACTTTGGAGAGGATAAATGTACTTCCGTTCCCAATTTCCATCTTACTTTCTATCAGCTAATATGCCTGTCTCTAGCAAGCTTCGCTTACTTTTTCTTTTAGTAGATTTAATTTGGAGAGGAGCTGCCTGGATAAATACATAATACAATTGCGGCTCTAAGAGGCATTTTACTAAAATCAAGATTTTATAGGGAAAAATCTATAAAAACATTAGTGGTAGTTATCTCTCCTTTTTTCATTGTTGTTGTCCCTGATACATAGCTGTCCATTCCAGTCTGTGCTCAGGGGAATGAATTTATTTGGGGAAAGGAAGCTTTTTTCTAAGATCTAGGTTTTGGGTGCAGTTGAAAGTTCAGCCGCATGCTCAGTGAGACGAGACAGAGGGGTACATGCAAGAACTTAGTTGAGCAGGGCTGGAAAGAGGGATCAGCTGTTAAGAGCATCTGCATGTGGTCCAAGGTGGGAGGAAGGACAGCAGCTGTTGAATACCCTTGACTTTCTTCACGGCTCAGTATTCCTTTGGACAGACAGCTCTTCCACTGGGAATGCCTCCTGTCCAGGCCTACAGCTAGGAAAATCTTCTGCATTAAAAGTGAGGTCTAGCTCTTATCTGTCTTCCTAGGAAAGAATAGGTGCTTTCTTATTAAAATATATTTTCAAGTGCATGATACTTATAATGTTGAAAGTTAAACCTACTGTGCTAAGATTCTCACTCTCTCTTAATTTCAAAGTCCTACTTAGGAAAAAAAAAATTACTGTCTTGAAAGGAAAACATTTCCAAATGTTACAATCCTGTCTGCTTTCTGTTATACTCTAATTTAAATTAAATATATTTTCCTGTAAGAAGGGTCTTGCCATAATTTCTATGTAAACAATTTATAATTTTTAGCTAAACATGTTTTGAAGACTTGAAAAATTTCGTACTCCTTTAGTTTTTCCCTTTTACTGCTCTCAGTATTTTCCAATCTTCTTATCCTGAACCACACATTTTTAATAAAGGCCCCAGGTTTTTAGGAAGTGTTTCTCTCTAAACTGGAAATTTCGTATCTGCCTTGACTTTGAACTTTGCGGTGAACCTGAGGGCATAACTTTAAAAGTTAGTAGTCGGTTCTCCTCTCTAATCACCCCATGTTATGTATTTCAAAGGATACAAAGGCTCCAAGTATAAAAAGAGCATTAAAAATATGGTTCTGGAAGGTGAACAGCGCCAGGCCCATGTAACAGAAGATGACATTCTCAGCCAAGAAGTTCATAAATTCGAACAACTGAAAACAAAATAAAAATGAAAATCAATTAATTGCGAGTCAGATTTGAGTCCATTTTAATTTGTTGTGACTGTACTTGATGATGGGGTGGTCCTCATTCCTGTAGGGAACCTCCCTTTTGGAGTGAGCTCAGCCTCTCGGGGGACACAGGTCCCACCTATTCTGTTAGGTCTTCTGACTTACCTGGCTCTCTGCCCAGTGACATATGCGACAGTTGTGTCACTTAAAGCTTCCAAAGACACCCTCAGGGAGTATTAACCAGCATGATTCTTTCATAGAACAATTCCTAATAAATTGGCAACATGTTCCCTGTTAAAGAACTAAAGCTAACTGATGTGCTTGAGGTATATTGTAATTCACAATGCAGAGATTATTTCACCTCTCCTGCACACTACCCAGTAGATATACTTGAGCTCTCAGGTCCCAGAGGACTAATTTTTTTTTTTTTTTTTCATGTCGGGAATCAAACACAACACCTTGCACTTACCAGGCAGGCACTGTGCCACTGAGCTAGAATGAAATTTTTTTTAAAAAGCTGAAGCTAAATTCCTTGCTCACATATGCAAAGGAGACAAAAGGAAAATTTGGAAAATAAGGGTGAACATTGATTATATAGTATTTTAACATTAGAATGATCAGTTTATTTCAAAGCCCAGACAATGAGCCTCTTTAAATTGACTGATTGTATATCTACCAAATGTCTACAATTTCTAGCTGGTAAAAAGAAAATGATTGATCTCAGGGATCAGTTTATTCAGGACAAGCATGACAGATACATCAAACTCAGTCAGAAGAATGGAGTAATAACTTGTTATGTTGAGAGATACTCCCAGGAGTTATTCTTAGACCATTAACTAAACAATTTCAGTTGAACATGAAAAACATTTTCCAACTTCCATATTAAAAATAAAGGGGAAATGTGTCCAGAGGCCACAGTAAAGGCCAATTCGGAAAAGACTTTATGTTCTAGAGTTTTCACTTAGAAGTTTCTGAAACTTCATTCCCAGACCTGCATAAATCATTGTCAGGTAAATGTCTCTGGAGGCATTCTCTTGACTTTTTAAGGACTCATTATTTTTTCATGTAATGTATTTACAGCCCCACAAATAATGCCCAATACCTGCTCACTGACAGTTGACAGACAGAAAAGTAGAATCTTGTCAGAAAAATTATTTAAAACCAGTAATGGAAAGAAAGGATTAAAAGAGACACAGCTCCTTGGGTACAAGATGGTCTTTCTGCAATGGCAGTCATCATCAATTTTCCTGAGCACTCTTTCTACATTTTAGGCTGGCTAACATAAGCAAACACTGTCACTCAAATAACTGCAGAGAACTGGAAAACATGAGAGTCAGGGAAATATAGAGGATAGGAAAGTTTTTTTCTAGCTCATTATAGTTTTACTTCTTCCAGAAGCAAGATTGGTATATCATCTTATTTTGTTCAGGTTGCTGTAACAAAATATCATAAACAGAGTGGCTTAAACAATAGAATCTCATATCTAATATTTCTGGAGTCTAGAAAGTTCAAGATCAAGGTGCTGGCTGATATAATGCTGGGGAAAGCGTTCAAGGTTTGCAAATGGATACCAACTTCTTGTATTCTCACATAGAGGAGAGAAAGAGATCTTCTCCTTTGGTCCCTTCTGATAAGGACACTAATTCAATTCATGAAGATTCCGCCATCATGACCTAACTGCTTCCTGAAGGTCTTGCCCCCAAAGAGCATCTCACTGAGGATTAAGGAGTCAACATAGGAATCCTAGGGAAACAAAAAGTTTCATTCTTTAGCAAATATCTAGTTCTTAACATTAAAAAACATCAAAGTTAAGTTCATAGGGCTTCTCCTGAGCCATTCTCAAGTACATTTTACCCCAGAAGGAGTATTTTGGTACCTAGAATCTCTTTACCTTCTTAGTAGCTGTATCTCAATTTGTCTCCGGAGGGGCTATTTGTTTTGTATAGACTTGGTAGCTCAGATATGGAGCATGTAATCTGGGACTAAATCACTCAAATCAATGCATTTCTCTAGGTGATGTGTTTGGCTTGGAAGAGGATGTGACATGTTTGGAGCCAAAGAAATTCAATGAGACCTCTGCTAGGAATGCCAGGACAAAGATTTCCACCTCCTTATTGGATGAGAAATTGAAAGATGGCTGACCAGGTAGCTGCTGGGAGCCATTTTGTGATCACAGGGGAAATGGCTGAGAGAGAAGCTAGGTGCTTGTACCAAGATTTAAACTCCTGTACATAATCTCTCCAAAACCAAAAGTCTTCCCTTGGAGTTTGAATTAAAGAGATCAAGAAATCATTTGACTGGAGGTGGGGTTATATTATTTAAAATGATATACTTCTTTAAATGCATGCACTAGTTAAGAGAACAAAAAAACCTTTCCACTCCATAAAAAAAAATCTTTTTGAAAGGCATGAGGTCAACTTTTTAACTTTTTTTTTTTTCAGATAAAAAGAAAGTCTGTTTCTTTTGCCTGTTGCCATCCACCCAATTGTAGCTATTCATTATCTTAAAGAAACAGGAAAAGTATAGGGGATGAGTCAGTTACTTCTGTTAGTTGTTGAAATATGATGGAATTTTTTGCTATTCATTTTAAATGAGAGCCTATGGTTTTAAATACAGATATGCCTCAGTTCACAAATTTAATTTGTTCCATAATCCTGGAAAAGATGGGTGTGGTCATGTTCATCATCTGATGCAGAGTTCACACACACAAAAAAATTTTGCCAAATGCTTCTGTTTGCAGACCAAATTGTTCACAAAGGGTCTGTGAACCAAGGTACCACTGTATTTGTTTTAGAGATCTTCTTCCTTTGAAAAACTTAGACTTTTACTTTGACTTATTCATTTAGTGTATTAAACTGTTGTTATTTCTCTCTACATCCATGCCATGCTCTTCTACATTAGTGTAGATTCATAATTCATTGTACTATTTCAACTCTATATTCTCAGAATTTTACTGATTTTTTATGTTTAAAAATGTTTTTATTGGCACTTAATCATCCAGAAAAGTAGGTAGGTCATGTTTACAATTTAAGATTTTAAAAAGGATTACAAGCACCCCAGAATCACTCCCATTCCTTTTCCTAGTCTTACTTCCTTACTGCAGTGTAACTATTAGCATTAGCACCACAAATTAGCTTTTCTTGTTTTTTTTCCAGTTTTATAGAGTTGGAATTAGGCAATATGCACTCTTTGTTATATTACCAGAATTAGATGATATATACTCTTCGTTGTCTTTTACTTGACAATAAATTTGTGATAGTCTTTGTGTTGCATGTAACAGTTCACTTATTCATTATAGAAATATACATTTGAGTTGTTTCCAGTTTGGGTCTACGAATGCATGTTTCTGCTATATGTTAACCTTCTTGGGGAATTACTGGGATGTAATGTGCAATTTTCCAGAGCAGTGGTGCCAATTTACATTTCCATCAGCAGTTTTAGTTGTGTCTAGTTGTATCGTGCTACCATTTGGCTTTGCTGATGTCTTTTACTTTTTTTATGTTAAAAATTAAAAAACTGACAAAACAATGACGACAAAATAAAAAAACACAAAAACAACAAAAATAATACATGATGTCAAGCCAAAATGATAGAAATTTACAATGGTTGGTATATTACATTCTGTTATCTTCAACAAAGTTGCTCAGTCCATTAGATATAAGAATGTAGGAGTGATTAAACAATCAAAGACAGTAAGAAGTAAAAAAAATAATTAAAGAAAAACCATTGTAAATGATGCAGAGCATCATCATACAAAATGGTAGCAGTTCAACAATGGTTCTTATACTGCATATTGTTTTCAGATCAGTCGTCTATCTAACTATCAAATTCAAGCATGTGAAATTGGTCAAGAAAAAAGAAAAGAAATGATGTCTTCTAAACTCACAGTTTTGCCTTTTGACATTGAATCATCTTTTGACCTCAGAATCTTGTGAATTTGCACACAAATTACCTACCTGTTATTTCACTTGGAATTGCACCAAGTTTTGTAAATAAATTCAGGTAAAGTGTACATCTTTTCACTATTGAAGTTCTGAATCCACAAGCATTGTGTAGCCTTATCATTCTTTCGGTTTTGTTTAATTTTTCTTACTCATTCCTATAGAAAGATTTTGAACATCCGTCTAGATTTAGTTTTAGGTATTCAGTGCTTTTTGTTGCTATTGCAAATAATACCTTTTTCAAAGTTCATTTTCTTTGTTTTGTTGCTAAACTCACATGCATAGCTGATTTTTTAAATGGATCTTTCATTTCATGTATTATTATATATATTTAATAATATCACTTATTGGTAGATTGCTTGCATTTTTGAAGATCACATTTTATTCCTTTCTGATCATTACACACTTTGTATCTTTTTGTATTTGTTGCTGTTGCTTAATCACCTTTGATAAGATCTCTAGTACTGTGCACAATATGAATGATGATATGGTTATGTTGTTCCAGTCTCAAAAGGAAAACTATCAATGCTTTTCTACCTGTCAAGTTCATAGAAGCATTTAACAGATTATGTAAATTCCTTTCTTTTCTTGGTCTAGTAGAGACAGTCCCTTTTAAAAAACAAGAATATTGTCGATTTTTAGCAAATACTTTTTCTTCACCTATAAATATGATCAGAAGGTACTTTTTATTCTTTTGGTACAGTTAATTATATTAATTTTAAATGCTATGACAGTCTTGCATTTCTGCAATATTCAAGTATCACAAAATATGTTCCCATTCTTTCCTAAAATTACTAGAAGAATTTTCTTTACAGGAAAATTTTTAAATTATGGATGTACAGTAATTATTTTACTAGATATAGATATGACTAGTCAGATTATTTTGTGTCAATTTCAATAAGTTACATTTTCAAGGAATTTGTCATTCTTCTGAATTTTCATGTTTATTAGTATAGAATTGTTCATAACATCCTCTATATTTTAATGTTTGTAGTTATGTCTTTCACCCAGTCATTATGGGTGATTTGTCTTTTCTGTTTT